GATTGTGTGTTGAATCAAACTCGGTTGAAAGGTCGATGACAGAACTACGCCAAGGTGAAACACGGTTCCTCACATAAGGATAGGTCAACTTCAAGTAACCAGTGCCTTAGGCCTAACTTCTTAGAAACAAATCTGCAGTTCACACGAGACTAACGGCTTTGAAAAATAACTGGATTAAACTTTGCGTTTATCGCTAGCTATCAGTGCGGGGCCATCGTCTTCTACATACAGTAATGCGTAATTCTTACCAAGCTTTCCGCAACCAAACAAAATTTCAAAACTTGATTTATGTACTTCAGGGCGTAAATTTTAACACTGAGCAATCAGGGCAACAAGCAACCTCAAAATGAAGTCTTCTATATAATTGCCAGCTATCGATGAATCGCTAGTAGTAAAAAATCGAGCGATTGACCGCGTTTAAAACTTTTGCGTCTTTTCACGATTCCCTGTTGCTTATGTGTATACTATCGTTTTGAAGTTATGCTGTTACTTCCAGATCATACAGCTGTGTCATATAGCTGACATAACTAATTTTAAACAAATGGACTAACTGAATCAAGTTGTGTGACTTGTTGTGTGATGCTCAAGCAAGTAAAGTAACACCACGTCAGATGTTTTCCAAAGAGAAATAAACCCTGCTGAACAAGAATCCTCCAACGAATTTATGGTCCGCTTTGATTACGAGGAGATGAGACGTTTGTGCAGCGTCAATCATGATCAAGTGCTATTCAATGTCACTGTTTTGGCTCATGTATTCAACGACACAAAGCGAACCTCACGGTGTTCTTTTCCTGTAAATTCAATTTTTTTCTTTCTGTTCAGCTACTCCCCTTCACGCTAATGCACGCCTCTCATAAGTGATGTCTCAAACCCAGGCTCTCAGGTAGGAAAAATCAGCACATGGGAAAGAAAACATGGCGGAATATGCGAATTTCTATAATGAAGATAGTCGCAAAACTCGCTAATGAACAATGAAGGGATCCGCTGCGGAGAGAGTAGTAAACGAAGACGGAAAATTTCTTCTCTATGCAAAGAGAGCGGGTTTAAAACAGGGGTATTCAGAAGAAGAATATTCAATAAAGTAGGCATCGATGACTTTGCATTCGATTGAACGTGAGAAACATGGATACCCTTGGAGGTATAAATCTCAGACATGTAGAAGCATTTTGTGAACGAATTCTCCCACCAGTATATTAAAGTTTTCCTCTTCCTTTGACTGTAATTGCACAGCAATCGCAATCGGTGTAAAGTCAAAAAGTGTTCTGGTAACCTTAAGGGTTAATTAGCATTCATTCTGGACAAGTTACAGCTGTATTTTGGCGTGTTCCGACTCAATGACAGGGTCGATGTGTCCAATGACATCGCAGGGGTTTAAAAACCTTGGAGCCATGACCTGCCTAATAGAAGCAAAGGGGTCGTGCAGTGTTGGTCTATAATTCGGTTTAATGACCTCCGTTGACTTACGTTACCGTGTACACACCGCAGCATCAACGTAACGTATGAAACTTTTTATCATGCTAACGTATTAATAAATATCGAATTGTGACAGCATTCATTTCACTCATGCCAATATTCGAGTTAGTATTTATTATTAATCACCATCTACCTTTAAATTATGTGTACAGCCTGCTGTTTATGTACTGAATGAAAAACGCTAGAATGTTGAACAGACGGAAGTCAGCGGCTTTAAAATGAAAAGTCGTAACGTCGGGAGGACAGGGAATTATGGAAGCTTGA